TCAATCCATCAGGATGAAATTGCGCCGTAGTTAAAGGTTGACTGACTTGTCCAGCAACCTAATAACATATTAAAATAACGAAGATATATAATATGTTGAACTTTAAAACTTTATTTCTGAATTTCTATTTATTATTTTTCTTGTAAATATACCTTAGTTAATAATCTACCAGTACGTATATCTGAAAATGCCCAATGTTGATCTAAAGATGAACTTAATAAATAATCCCCTGTTGGATGTAAAGATAATCCAGTCACAGGAGCATCATGAGCTTTCAATAGTAATGTTGTTTGACTAGTTCCTACATTCCATATACGTATTGTAGTATCAGGTGATGCAGTCATTACTATATCTTCTTCTGGATGATAAATCACTCTAGTAACCTTGGAAATATTATAATAATATTAAACATCAAAAAATATTCAAAACAATTGAAAATAAATAATTTATACCTTTTTAGTATGTCCTTTTAATATTGCAACAACTTGTTCTGTATCTTTATTAAATACAGTGGCATTTTTATCTGCACCACCTGTTAAAATTTTACTAGTATCTGCACTGTGGATATCAAGTGCAAGTATACCAGGAACGCTAGCTGAATGGAGGCCCTTAAAAATATAAATAAATAAAATTAATAATAATACATCAAAATACATAAATATTTATTATATAAATAAAAAAAAAGCAATATTACAGGATGCGATGCAAGTGTTTGAAATGCGCGAATACTATCTTGTGGAAGTAAATCTTCAGGAACTGAACGTCCACGACGTTTTCTTTCCTGTGTGAGTACTGTGGCTCTTTCCTGAAGTTTTTGTATTACATCTTCAGTAATTCCAGCTTGCTCCATAGGTTGAGCAGCTGTACCACCAGCTTCTACTGCAAGTGCCTATAATAATATATAGCTCATAAGCATATATAATGATATATAAATAAAATTAATAAAATTTTATTTTTACAGGTTGTGGAATGGTAGTAGCTTGAACAATTCCTGCTTGAGGTTTCAAAGTAGCTAAAGCTTCTCTAGCAGCAGTTACTTCTTTTGTCAATCTAGCAATTACACGACATGCTGCATCATGTTGATATAATGCATGAGATAATTCTTGTCTAGCTGTTTGAAGTTGTTGTCTAAGTGTAAATGAATGTAACATAACAGCATCCCATTCATCTTGTAAAATTTTTAATATAGCTGGAATTGAAGTAGCACTTGGTGGTTTAGGTTTAACTATTGCAGTAGCTGTAAAATAATAACATTATTGATAATTTAACATTCAATAATGAAATTTAATAGATATATTTTATAATATAAATAAATTTGCTAAAGAAATAAAAATAATATACTTTTAATATCAATAAGTTGATCTGCAGTTAATTCCTTTCCAGTTATAGGATCTACTCCATTTTCGGCTAAATATTTTTCAATTAATCTCTTTTCAAATATAGAACCAGATACTGGAGATACAACCGGATGCTCCGGGACTTCGTTAGAAACTGAAAATAAATATTTTTCTCAGAAAATTAAATGAAATATAATGTAGAGATTCTAGGTTATGTTCAATTCTTGCCGGTATGCATCATAAATTTTATTATAAAAAATACTAATTTACTTTTATTATTATAATATAATATCATCAATAAAAACTTAATATAAATTTTTGTATTTTCAAATAAAAAATAATTAAATAAAAAAGAAAAAACTTACTTGCACAAGAAAGCGCCATTTTCACACATACAGAACGTGTTTACTACGCATGACATTTAAGTTGAAAAACATATTACCAGTTTTTATTATAAATTTAAATATATACTATTTATATATATAGAAAACATTTTATGGAATTATAAAAATATATGTGAATTATAATTACAATTATTATATATTTTATAATATATATTATAAAATATTTAAATTATAAAAGAAATTAAATATTTGAATAAAATAATTTTAACAAAAAATGAATTTTAATAAACAGAATTTATTATAATAATTAAATATAATGTTTTCTTATTGAATGAATATTATTGATATAAAGATATTTATATAAGATATATTAAGAATTTTCTAAAGATTTATTATATTGAATATAGAAAATGCTATATAGCAATTTCCGTTTTAATGAAGTAAAAAATATGGCAACATCTTATGGTAACTGTCATTTTCTTTCTTGCAGTTATTTTTGCAACTTTTTATATCAATTCAAGAACAAGTATTACGTAAGTATTTGCAAGAATTAAGGTATTAAATATATTTATTTTACTAACAGAAATATAATTATTATATTAATAATATAATTATTAACATGTCATGGGTTTAAGTCAAATCAGAATAATTCAAAATATTAAAAACTTCGTTCAGAGCTGGTAATCGTTTAACTTAATTCTTAGATGTTAAACAATTTATTTTTGAAGATTTATTTAATTAGTATCCTTAATTAAAAATTATATTAATAGTATAATATAAAATATGATAACTAATTTTAAAGAATCAGTTTTTCTTTTTAACTATTCAAGAATATTCATTTATAATATTCAAGAATAAACAATTGATATTATATGAAATTTTTGATTTGATTAAGCCTTCATTCTTTTATCATATCTATTAATCTATCTTTTATCTATTAATCTATTATTTTTTTATCATATATAGATCTTTTTATATTGCTTCATTATATATATATAATGAAAGTATAGTATAGTAGAAATGTCTTATTTAATTTCTTATTCTAATTTAAATAATAATTGAAAAAATAAAATTTTTTTAAAGAATAAAAATTATATAAATGCTTATAAGTTATTTTAGTATATAGATTTTAATAATCTTGAATTTAAAGATATTCCAGATATATTTCCTGAACTTATTATCTTTAATGAGCAGAGGTAGAATATAAGGTAATATATATATTACATAAGGTAATTAGTTTTTGTTTTTCAGGAAGAATGTAACAATTTATTAATTTTTAAAGAGTTTATAAAAAAGATTGTAAAAGATGAAACATAAAAAAAAAATACTAATTAAATTTTTTTTGTTTGTTTGTAAATAGAACTTTTAACTTTAATTAAAAATTGAACGTTTTTCAATAAATATTCTTTATATTTACAATTTTATAACTATATAATATAAGCTTAAAATATATATAAAAATAAGATACTAAAAAGGAAATATTATATATTATATATATAATTGAGTAATATATATATGTATATATACTCAATTACATAGTTCAATTAGTTTCAATTACATAGTTAATTGAAATCTAATTTAAGCACAAAATAATAATAGGGATCTTTTGATGCACAAGTTGTTATCTTTCAATACTTTATGTTCACATAAATGAGGAATTATATTATATTCCTAAAATTGCAATCTGTGATAAAATTTTTAGATCTATAATATAACAAAATTGATCATTACGGAATGCTTGGACTTCCTTACATAAAAGTTTTAGTTATTAAGTTTAACTAAGTTTAAATATTTTTTAAAAAAAGTTAACAAGATGTTAATAATAAATGAATGAAGAAATATATAATTAAAGTATTTCAATGCATTTAAATAAATTAAAGTTTTTTAAAATCTAGTAGAAGTACTAAATTGAATTTCAATGTTCACAATAATTTTATATATAACTAAAACTTTTATAGTAGGGTATCCTATATATATATTTTTATGTTCCACACAGTATTATTTTTTTTTCACTCCAATATTAATTTATTTTTGTAAATGTATTTAACAAAAAAAAAAAAATATGAGAAAATTGAAAAGAAAACATTGCATAAATCAATATATGTTATAACAATAATATACATTAAATAATATTAAGTAGATTTAAGATTTTGATTTGTATAATATATTTATCTGTGTATGTTATTGTATAATATATTTTATCTTTAGATAAAATTATCTATAGATAAAATAATTTTATCTTTATTACAATAATATTATTTCGTACGTCATTTATTATTATTTGTATTACTGAATGAATGTATTTCTTTAAAATGTTAATCTTTAATAAAATTTATATCTACAAAAAAATACGGAATGTTATTAAAAACACATTATTTATATTTCTTTGCTTCTAATTTATTCTAATACTAATATATTAAATATGTTTTTTAAACAATTTACAATACTTAACTTTAAACAAATTACAAATCATATTGTAATGAATAATACCAGTAGTATATTTTTTTTAGTACGGAATATGTTCAATTATAAATGTTTTACTTTCAAGTTAATTTTAAATTAATTAACTTTCTAGTATATTATGGAATGTTAATTTACATTCAATGTAATAATCTTAATTAATCATTGAATTAGGATATAAAACGAATCTTACTTTTTCTTTAATTATGATCGTTATTTTTCGGATTTGTAATTGCCTTTCTTTTTTTTTTTTTATTTCCATAACAACGGCAATATAAGTAAAAGCATAAAAATAAATAAGATAAATCTATTATCTTATATTTTCAATGATAATGATGATATATTATATATTTATATACAATAAATATATATATATATATTCATTTTTATTCCATTTTGTTTGCATTTGTTATCAAACTGTCTTAATAACTAGATTATATACACTGTTTATATTAATAATTAATAATAATAAAACCATAGATCCATAATAATATAATAAATCTACTAGATTTATTTTAAACTAATCATATATGCAATAGATATATCTTACGATATATATCTTATAAGTCTAAAAGTGATAATATTTATATTTATATACATAAATATTATAAGAATAAATGGTTTAGTATCTCAAAAATTCTAAAATCAGAAAAATTACCTGCTTGAATATACGTGTTTATATAAAATATAATTAAAAAAAAATAACCTATATTATTTTTACATGATTAATAACAATATAAGTGTTACATTTAGATAAATTTATTTCTTTTATTTTAAACTAATCATTTAAACTAATCATTTTATTATAATCACAAAAAATTAAAAATAAAGTGTATATACAAGTAAAAATGTTATTACATTTATAACAAAATCTGTTTGTTTATTCAAGCAGATATAGTTACTTTAGCGAGTAACAACGATTACACAAACGAGGAAAGATCGATGTATTAATAAAAATGTAATGAATCAATTCAGCAAGTGGTGTAGAATTACAAGATACGGAGCAAATAATATGGTTTAACAAAATGTTACGCCATCAAGAGCCAACAAACAAATATCAAAGCCACCCATAGAAATACTTTTGAAAGAAATTGTTCTTCTTCATATTGTGGTGTTCCTCTAGCAGCTGTATAAAAATGCATAGTTAAATTCAATTTTATTAGATGGCATTATATATAAAATTAATTTATAATGAAAAAATACCTGCACTTGGTCGTGTTTCTCCAAAATTAAAAGTAGATGTAAAGAATGCAAATGGAAATGTCCCGATACCAAATGACATATAAGAACCATCTCCAAAACCAAAACTAGAAAATCCAATATTATTTTCGGGTTCTGTTCTTTGCCCAGCAGGACGTGGTGGAACATTATTTCTGAATCAATACAAACATAATTTTTAAAATATATTATTAAATAATTATGCATTTAATTTAAATAAAAATAAAAATATAATTTACCTTGGATCTTCATGCCTTGTATCTCCACGTCCATACAATGGAATAACTTTATCTTTGCTAATTGCAGCTTTACAGACAGGACACATTTGCCTTGTTGGACGTGTCTCTAACCATTGGTGCAGACAAGGCCAACTAAATAATATATAAAAATGTATGTTTATTATTATTATAATATAATGCATATGAATATACATTATTAATAATAAATATATCATTAATAATAAACTTACCAAAATAAATGACCACACATACTAATAACTGCATTTTTTGCAGTATCAAGACAAATATTGCATTCAAATGTTCGATTATCCTTTTCTTTCTCTTCTGCAGTGGAATCCCATGGTTTAGATGGTCCAGCTTGTTCCCTTGTAGTACTCATATTAGAGAACTCTTAAAGAAAATGCGATTGATAAAATTTAAAAAATATTTGTCGTAAAAATTTACCGATTAATTGTTCAAAATTTTTTTAAATTTTTATATAATTTAAGAAATAAAAATAAAAACTATTTGATTTAATTTATATTGACGTAGGGCAACGTTCAAAGCTATACTTTTTTTTACCACTTAACATTGACGACAGTATTGTAAGGAAAGAAAAACAATTCTAAAAGTCACTGACAATCTTTATAAGCACACTCTAACGACACTAACATCTAATATAAATGTCATATAATAATAAAAATTAAACACAAATATTGTTCATATAAATGTGCAATTTTCATTCACAATCATTCTAACGTCGTATTTTCTGAATCTATTAGCATTTTCTGACGTATTATGTATCCATGAACAAAATCGGAAGTCATATGTCCGCGATAGAACTGTAAAAGTTGATAAAATACAAATAAGATTAATAAATGTTTCTTGCAGAAAACATCAAATTGTCACATACGGAATAATATTTGATGATAATATTAATCGAAAATTACACGATGAACAAAGTTCATTAGGTGTGTTTGGCAAGTAAAGATCGTAGGTCTCGTCAAAATACTAATGGAGTTGCATCTGCCATTGCTGACACAATTCATGTCACTTACTTTAGTCTTTTGACTGCGGAGCCTCCTCAGCAATTATTTATATTCTTCCGCTAACTTAACTCTGTTTCCAAAATGATCTGATGTATCACGTATACCGTAGTCACAAATGCGCAAGTGCTATTAAATGATTTTCATGATTTTTCGTGAAACGGATGTTCGAAATAACACGTAAGAGATTTGTCGTCAGTGCGTCTGCGCTTATCTACAGTAATGTTATGGCTGACAATTGTTCGCACAAACGATTCGCGTTTTATTTTTTTTCAAACATAATTTTGTTGACTATTATAATTATCGTGTTATAATTTAAAAATTTTATTTAAACCCATCACTTGATTAACGCCGTATCTTACTCAATTGTATGATTACTTTTTATCGACTGTGCATTTAATACAATTCGATCAAGTTCCGTAGTGTCTTAATAGAGTACGTGGTGGATACAGTTTAAATAGGTATTTATAATTAAGTTTTGTTTTATTTCATGTTAATTATTTAGTTATTACATCAATAAAAATATTATAAATATTATATTATATAATTCACATAAATATATAGTATTTTTATAATTAAGTAATAAAAAAGAAAAGAAAAAAATTTATATTAATAAATTAAATAACTACATATTTAACTCTCATTTATTGTACAATCATGCATTAATAAAAGAAATAAAAATCAATCAAATATTCGGATATATTTTTTATTACTACATATCATAATTTGATATGGTAATTTTTATAAATAATCCAAAATATTAATGAAACTATACCTAAAATTGATTTCTATATCACCATGGAATTAGTCAATTGTATCGTTTAATACATTCTCGTTTGAAACATGATGAAGTGATGTAATAACTAAGATATAAAATATAAAAGTATTTAAGATGAAAAACGAAAAGTAATGTTAAGAAATTGAAACTTTATTTCAACATAATAATATAATATCAAAATATATAATTATCTCTTTAATATTTTTTTGTGAACATTTTTTTATAGGCATCAATAAATAGGCATTAATATATATATATATATATTAAAAGTTTATGACCAAAATATTTTTATTAGGATGAAAGCGGATGAATTAGAATCTTTACATCTTCCCTCGAGGGGTCATAGTAGCAGATTTGAAAGTCCAGTTTCATCAAAATTCAAGCTCAGCGGAACAGGAAAGACGCGCAAGATTGCGGGCAAAAACCTAACCTCAGTTATTTTACAAAATCGTCAAAATTATCGTATAGTAGAAGATGACGTTGATGTTACTCCAAAGTTATTAACCCATCCAGTTTATAGTTCAATCGATGAAAAGCAAATAACTGCATTTGAAACAATTGGATTGTCTCAAATCGCCAGCATCGGACAACTATCTATCATTTCCGGTATAAGAAGTACATCTACAATTATCAGAACATCCTCGCTTCCTACTGGCACTGTAGTAGCTGAAGATATGTTATTTGAAAGTTTTTTATCAACTCAAATCGATGAATATATATATGAAAAAGAAGAAGCTCCTCCTCAATTTTATCTATCTAGGTAATTTTAAGAATATGATAATTTAAAAATTTTTAATTAGATAATTGTTAGATGAATTATTAAATAATCAGTATTAGTATTATATTATAATTAATTTTTTGGGAACATATTTACAATTTAAAGATATTAATAAATTATAAGTATTTTGTATATATAAGTTTTATTGATAAATAAATTGTACACATATAGTATATGTTCACAAAAAGTTAATATTTATATTTTATTTAAAAATAAAACAATCAATAGACAAAAATAGAATTAAAAATTTTTTTGTCTCATTCAGTGACGATCCAAATATTTTTCTGACTCGACCTGAAACTGTAAAACTCTGTTTGAAAGAAACAGAGACCTTTTTTATTTTTGAATTAATTCCTCGCGTAGCTGATTTAAATACACCGGAAGGTATAAAAGTTCAAAAAGAAAATGAGAATTACGAATACAAAACAATTGGACCTGGTTCACATAGGAAATTAGTAGAGATTGAAACTCAAACTATACAGATGCTTATGAGATCTCGAGGAACATATTTTAGCGAAAAAAGACGTGTAAATGAGGGAATGTTCGTAAATAATTGGGTGATATATGATACATATGCTCAACCTGAATTGATACTTGAAAAAAATGGTTTATTTGTAGTACATAGAAAGGAATCTATACAAAAGATGCTAGAAGCGCAGGTTTGAATAATTTTTAACACATAAATGTTTTAATTTTATTCATATAAAAACTACAGTAATGTCTATAAATTCATAAAATAATTATTTCTAATTTTATTTTCATAGAATTTGAGATCTAAATTACCAAAGTCTGAAATAGTCGAGATGCCTACCCTTCTTGAAGAGCAGATATATATATTTCAACGCGATAATTTCCGGAATGCTGTGCGAATAATAGAGAGAATAATATCGCACAACATTTTCATTGATGCTCAAAAACGTTTTACCGGTTTAATCAAGCAAGATCCATGTAGCCTTGATTTGGAATTTACATATAATCTGAATCTTCTTTGGACTTATAGTTCTGAACAAACTTTGGGAAGACCAATAGCTTCTTTACGTTGGAATTACGTTAACAGAAACATTTTAGCAGTAGGATATGGAGCGCGAGATAATTCAGAAATTAAAAATGGCCTAGTTTTTCTTTGGTCTGCGAAAAATCCTGCCAATCCAGCTCGACGATATGTTTTCAATTCTCAGGTATCAGATCTCGATTGGAGTCGTGATCGACCAAATTTACTCGCTGTTGGTTTCTATAATGGCGAAATCCTGGTAATCGATGTCAGTAAACCAGACATCAATATTATACGACGAAGTCAAAAGGATATAGATAACCCTTCAAATTCTCCGCACTGGCAAGTTCAATGGTGGCCAGGTGACGAACAATATGACTTCGAAGAACAAATTTATACGTGTAATCAGGATGGTTGCACTTTTTGTTATCGATACGTCGAAGATTTTACTTCGATGACGATTATGAAAGTTTTTCGAATAGAAGGAATATTGCCAGGTGTTACGAGAACTGTACAATGTGATTTTTTTGGTGTATCCATCAGTCGAAGTCCTGGCGCATTAGTATTACAAAAGCATCCTACTTTGAGTACTATCTATTTTATTGGCTCGGATGAAGGTTGTATTTATAAGTGCTCAACAAATTATTTATATCAATATATAGATAATTTTCTAGCGCATGATGGACCAGTTTATTCAATGATGTTTTCTCCATTTTGTAAAAAAATATTTTTAACCTGTGGGGCTGACTGGTGTATTCGAATTTGGGCAGAAGGGTTAACAGATCCATTGATCACATTGTCTACGACGATGGCATGCGTTCGATATGCAGTTTGGTCTCCAATTCATTCCACGATCATAGCGAGTATCGTCAACAATGAAATCTGTATATGGGATATTAGACGGAAAATATACAAGCCTGCCTCAGTGACAATATCACCTAGCAGCGCTAGATTTGTTATGATTAATTTTACGGCGAATGGTAACCAACTTGCAGTAGCGGATATAGAGGGTACCGTATATTTATATAATCTCGAAGGAATGCCATTTCCTCCGTATAATCAGCAACGTGTGTTGATAGATTCAATCAAAAAAGCTCTGATTACGAAACCGATAATTTTAAAAAATTTGAAGAAACTTGGATCACCATTTTCATAAAAAGAAAATAAGATTGGATTATGCTATCTTTAATTATAATCTTACTTCAAACTATTGTATTGTATATACAATGTGATATTTTATCATAAAACGAGCATTTGAATACGTATAATGTTTAATTAGCTGCCACAATATAACTGCTGCTATCTCGTATTTGTCCTGTGTATCGCGACTTTTAATCGCGTATTATTGTAAGGGACAGATATGACATTTTAAACTTCTTTATCGACTGTGCAGCCGCGGGCTAAATCCAGCACGTGGGGACCCCTTTCGGTCCCCCGAAGCGTGCCCGAAGGGTCTTGCGTGATTCGCGCAAAGCACGGAAAGCAAAGCAACCATTTCGATTCAGGATGGAACTGTAGTGCCGGGACCCACTCTGAGGCCTGGTAGGCAAGTCGGCACGGATGGCTGGCTGGCTTGCTTGGAGGAGTTGCAGGAGAGTGCCATGGTAGAGGGGCTTCCCTGGCTGCTGCCGCTTGCGGGCACAAACCGCGCTACCGCCGTCAGCAGGCAGTCTTATTACGCCCGCACTCAACTACGCGAACTAAGTACTCTTCTTAAGGCCGGAAACATAATAAATAATTATTACGGGCCTAATATAACGCGTGATTTCGGGCTGTATATTGAACGGTGTTCGTTTTGCGCTAAAAATTACGAATCTTGTACATCTCGATTACAGGTACAAGATTGTTTTTTGCATGTTCGATCCAACGTTCGGTTCCAGCAAGGATTCGCATTTTTAAGTCGACAAAATCGATCTCGAAATCAGTTAGAGAATCGAGCCGAAAGACGGCGAGGAACTCTCGAGTTCGATTGGTCGGCAAGGACCTGTTGCCTGGTCAGAGGTAACTTTAGAACGCTTTTTTCTTCGATTCGTTGTATCGATAAAGCGTGTTTCTGTATGGAGATATCTTTCTCGATATTCTTTTTTTTTATCTTCCTTTTTGAAAATATAATTTTATTATTTTATCGATACGTGCGAATATTAGAGTTTTAAAATAGTATAATACGATCTATATTTCAAAAGAAGAAAAGTTTAAAAATAATGTTATAAATAAATATATTTGTAGTATTTAGTAGATTTATTTAAATTCTAAAATAAGAAAAAAATATTTATAAAATTCAAATAAATTTTTAATGTAATGTAACTAAATTTATAAATTTAAAAATTTTGATTCGAAAGAGTGACATTGTCTCCCTCCCGTGTTAATTCGACGAATCAAAATTCGACAAGCACGCTTGACCTGGAATGCCAGTTTTACGCGCAACGTGTAAAGGAAATGTGTGTGATGTGAGTTCGGTGTTCGGTGTAAAAATAGAAGAGAACAGACGTCCTGTCGGCTGTGGCGACGATTAGTTTCGTTTTCTTGGTAGTAGAAGCACGTTGCCGTTAACATCGATGGTCATTACGTTGTTTGTCGCGCGCCAAGAATTCGCGTCCACGCATACCGAACTGTCACGATTACCGCGTGTCACGAATTTATCTTGTATTTTGATCGTCGAGAACAGTTGTTATTCAGTTTCACAAAATTTATACAGATATATCAAATGTGTTACACATCGTGGAAGATAATTCAAACATTTGGAAAGAATGAAAATATTGGTTATGACAGATTCGGTAAAAACAATGGTAAATTTCAATTCTTCATTCTGAACACGCTTAATAATTATTTTCACTGACCATTAATAAGATGCCATAAATTAAGATGAATTATTGTTAATCGTATCATTATGTCTTATTTGTTGTTAATTGTGTGTTATAGGTTATCACGCTGAATCGAACGTTATTTTATGTCGATGGTGACGTAGTGACGTATACGGAGATGTGATCAGTGTGAAGACTCCTTAATAGCAAGGAACATGTGCAACTACAGAATAGTGGCGAAGCCGATGTTGCCGGGGCACGAGCTACACTGTGACCACTCTGTTCTCGACGAACCCTGACCGATTCCACCACTTCGTTTCACCAGCTGACTGTCGACCAGGACTGAAAACACGTTGTGGTGAATGCGCTCGTTTAAATATTCGTATGGTTGAATCGTGAGACGCGCGCGGTCAGAGAGAAATCGATTTAATGTTTAAGTGTTGTTTCGAGTTAATGCGTACGGTGTATAGACCGAGTTTCTTTGAGAAGTAGCGGTGTGTTCGTAAAATTACACGTTTTCACGTACATTCGGTACGCTATGAACATCAACGTTCTTGAATGTAACGGGTGGTTTACAAGTAAGTGTCCATTTTTTTCTTTTTACTTTTAACCTTATAATCTCTTGCCGCCATATTTTTTACTTTTTTTTTTACTGACATCAAAAGTAACATCTTTTAAATATAATCAATATAGTGAATTTTATTTCAACGAAACGTAAATCGTGTTCGTATTTGCAACTATATTTCGATCAAGATTTTACTTATTCTAAAAAATTCATTAAATTCGATTAGCCTTTTCGAATATTCCGACACATGTTCGACAAAAAAATAAACTGTTCAAGACAGGGGATGATGTAACCGCAATGTAACTTGTCGCGACACGAACCATATACAGCAATATAGATTTGATTTACCGTTTTGATAGTAGAAGATCACTAATAAATTTATCATTTTTTAAAATTATTTTCTCACAATATATCGCAAAGAAAAATAATATCTTTAATTTATCAATGGATACTCTCAATTAAAAAATATCATTCTTACTTGATCAAGATTTGGTATTTTTATTCTTTTCTTATCTCAGGCGTTTAATTAAAAATTTTTTCCTCTTCTAATGGGCTATTATCATTTTAATATGTGAAAAAAAAAAAAGAAACAAGTTTATGCCATTCCGTTAATGATGCACGCTCGTGTGTAATCCAATTAACGTTTCCAATTATACGTTTTAAAGAGAATTAACGAGGCACGATTCCTTTTAACTTCGGTATTCGAAAATTTTGAGGCACGTTCCTCGAGTGTAAAATGTTTTCGTGCACCTAATTGCGGATCAATCTCGAATAGGGTTTTACAAATCGATCATAATGCTTATGATATACTTATTATCTGTTCGATGCACACATCCCATCATTCGTTCCTACCCTCTTGTAAACCTTTATCTGTAATAAGTCCCCGCCTATTTGACTAATCGTGATCATGCATCACGGTACCTCTGTCTTCATCTAATTCTTCACCGGCCGATGCAACCTGCACGTCCGGTAACCACATTCTTTCCCAGCCGTTTCTGGATACCTTGGCCACATGGATTTTCAAGCATATCTCTTTTTCCCTCTCCGTTCCACCGTAAGATACATAAAATTTCAACGGCGGAGGGGATCCCTGTATGTATGGGGAAAGTTCTGGAGAGTTTGGGTCACGCCATGTTGGTCATTTGGTCGGACACCGATTGTGGATGGATGTAACACAGGATTCTCAAAATCCATTTTGAGAAAAAGTTTATTTAATCGAATATAATTAAAAGGTCGGAAAATAAAAGTGGAATATTTATAGAAATTTACATTTTTTTTTTTTTTATTCTAAATTGATTATACTTACTTAGAAATCTATTTAAGATAAACGATCGTTGGTAGCAAAAGAAATTTCTTTCGACGATCGATGTCGATGTATCGTTCTTTAGAAAGTATATTGGACGATTAGTAAGAATATTCTGTTCGAGTTCACGGAACTCAACACGGAATTATTCATGAATATCATTCATCTCGTTATCGTCTGGCGAGAGAGGAGACATCTTCTTACCTGGCTGAAAGTGTGAAGAAACGTTTCCCGCTTATTTAGCCGTTCGAAATACCGGCATCGACTACATGACACTGTACAAACGAAGAAAAAAAAACAAGATCTAAAGAAAATGCGTGGGTTTCGTTATCAATGTTGGTAATTTATGCACGCGCGACTAGTAGATTTCTTGTTCTTAACTTGTGGTATCGTACCGAGTCATATATCATCTCTCGTACGCGATCGGAACTGAATAATCAATTAATATGGAGAATAAATGATTGCTCCATCATCGAAGGGACGTGCATAAATCTTCCGTCTGCCGCATGTCGCGTTCGAGATTATTGTTTTTAAAAATTCTCATCCTCTCTCGATAAAATGTTTCGCGACATGTTTCCCATCCTTTTTTTATCTCCCTCTTTTGAAACGTAGAATTAGCTCTCGTTAATCTGAGATCGATTATAACGAATATAAAGAATAATTACATTACAGATAGGAAGGAAATAATTTGCATTAATAAATCAATACTTGCTGATGCGGGTATCGCGTCTTCTTGTGTTCTTAAATTAAACTCGGACAGATCAATTTCCAACTATTCCAACAAGATAATCGGATAAGCGTTTGTTCCATATTATTTTTCCACGATATTTTCCACAATGAAACGTCAAGAAATGAAAGATTATACGGTATATATATATATATAATTAACAGGGAATTAAAATATCGAAATTCAAAATTCACGTTTATCGACATTTTTCTTTTTTTTAATCTCACAAAAAATTACGAACCCCTCTTTTTCTTCTCTTTGTTGTTCCGTTATTTGAACGAGAAAAATACGAATAAAACGGGGTGCAAGTTGGACGGGAAAGGATCCAACGGACGTAATATAGAAGCGATAATGCTCGCTCACGTCGTGAACTAAAGACGGCCGAGGTGAACCGTTGATCTGCTCGCGTGGGTGTAACGAGAGAGTATAATGCGCGGAAAATTACCGGCAGGCTTATGACTTCCTCGAAATCACCACCTCAGAGATACATATTGCGGATCCATTAAGTGGACCCTCGCGAAAAATGATATTCCATATTATTGTCGGCAAGGTTTCTGGAAAACCTTTTTTGTCGGATCTTATCGAAAATAATGATAGATATTCTCTCGTATCGAGGAAGGATTGGTCAGAACTATTGTTAGAAGAATATTTTCTTCGTCGAAATAAAAGGGGAAGGGTCTGTGTATATTTATTAATTTTTGAATTATTCACAGGGAGAATAGATCGAATATTATCTTGCACGATCAAGAAATCATTTTGATTATAAGAAGAAATCGGTAAGAAATCGGCTTATTGAATTGAATTTCTCGTAACGAGATATTATTGACAGGAGTTCGATTGATAGAGCAATAATTATTAAACATTCAACAAATATATATTTCTTTCTGTATTTTGAAAAAAATTAATATCCATTTCACAATTGCAACCACGTATCCCAAGATTCTTCCTCTTAAATAAATATCTAGAATCATCGATCAAGCAATTTTTTAAAAACGTCTCTCCAAACGTGAAATTAGATAATCCAATCCTTCGAGGAACACGAAGATTTGCCGATGCACGGGGAAGAGTAAGATATCTTTCTTTTCTTTCTTTCTTTTCATCAAGTCAAGTTACACGGGTTGATATTGAAATCTGGCGTGTAACGGAGAGCGAAGTCGAGAGAGGGATGTCTGTTAAACACGGCCGATAATAAAGGTACTTGTTCAAAGTGAGCGTGTACCGTAATAGACGAGATTAAGTCGGGG